GCATGTTTGCTTGAAAAATAACTTATTGATGCATTAATACTGTAAAAACACTTCTCAATGATCCGTATAAAATGTTCATTTGATTTTAAATGCGGACAGAGAATGAGCGTCCTCGGTGATAAGTAGATAAATATTTGTGTTTTGTATTTCATTTTCCTGGGTTAGAAGTGCTGGGTATTTCACAAAGATATAAAGGTACGGAATGCGGCTTTTCTGAGCGAGGGTATAAGTCGCCAGGCTGAACAGCTATTCAGCTTCATGTTTGATGGCGTCAAACTCAGTCAAAATCATGACGTTTACATACGATCAAGCGCACCATTCAATACACTTACCTACCGTAAAACTCCATGCCAGTCCACTTGATAAGAGCAGTGAGCACTATCCCTTCTTCGCGCTGTCACACGCGCCCAAACATCAACCACCAAATGCCCCAACACCGGTGTGTCGTTTCGTCGCACAGCGCACAGGCTGTCACAAACGCTGCACATGATTGGCGCAGAACTGCGCATGCGCGAACAGCCGAACAAGTATGGCTAAGCTCCGGCTTTACTCCAGTTAGCCGAAGGACACAGCCAGCTTGATCAGCCCGCGCTCCGCCCAAGTTAGTTTTGGATGCGCGGGCAGATGTCGGGCTGAGCTACTGCTATCCGCACGTGGGCATAGCTGCGGCATGCCCCAGCTCAGCCCTAGTAAAAAATACATTGGTTTTGATCAAAGTGGGCAAACCCAAGCTAAGCCCAAGCTGCCCGACGCTTGCCACAGTTCAGCCCAAGCGAATTGCTGGCTGGGTATGTTGGGAGGTAAAAAATAACCCCCCTTTTTGGACGCCTGGATCCGCCTATTATAGCAAAAACGTGTCAAAAGAGGATGCACAATAACTTTGTATATGTTATCACATGATACCTTTCATTCACTGTACGTAAAACTGGTGCAGCATCGTGATCTTCGCCCAAATGACTCGCTTCACGAATAGGACCCCCAATTCCCAGTGCTCTGGAGCCGCCCCTGGTAAAGTTATGAACTTGAAATTTTCAGGGAATGTGCCCAATTTAGTTTTAGGAAAAGTCAGAAAATTTCAGCATCGTAGCTTCAGCGGTTTCGGAGATATTCCCGAAAAACCTGAGGGGTGGATAAAAACAACCCCCCCTGCCACTAATAGGGTTAAGGTCAGGTCACCAGGTCACTTTGAATGACCCTACCTCAAGTCACTTTTTTGCAACTTTGTCACCGTGCCAGAGCTACAGTAGATGTCGGAGGCCTTTTAAAGTCGCAGGATGTTATGAGGTCATAGTAGCTACAATTTGTATATCTCAGAATTTTGATATCGATGACCTAAGGTCAGGTCCATTTCTCGACCTCCCCATTATAAGTCAATGGGGGAAAAATCAACTCCCTGTTTTTACCACTAAAAACGGGTCGGAATGGCCCCATACACCATACATGACTTCATATACGATCAACCTTCACTACCTTGAGGTCTGTTTTGCTGTTGGGCAGCTGTATGGTCATGTGACGTCATCAAAGGTCATCAAAGGTTTTTTTGCCAATAACTCCGTGCAGGAGCAAGATACATCCGCGCGGATGGTCTCATTGTGTTCAGCTCGTCAAGACGCATCGAATGATATACATGATGACCTCGAGGTCACGTGACCAGAGGTCAACCTTTGACCTTGACCTTTCGAGGTCAACATATATATCATTCGATGCGGATTGACGAGAGGATCACGATGGTGCCCTTAGTTTTTTCCTATCTTGACTAATTCGAAAGTTATTCGAGAAAAACTCTCGCCATATCTAGCGCCGCCATTTTGACTTTTTGACCCCTGTGACGTCATTTTTTACCTGATCTGAAAATGACCTTTGTAAAAATTGTAGACCTTGTCCGTGCGCATCCGATGCCGTTAACGGCTTGTCGCTATCTTGCTTCGTTCTCGAGATCTCAGGGGTGGGGGGTGGGGCGCGGTCATCCGCCCCCCCCCCCCCGTCGGTACAAAGTTGGCGCAGACCCCCGTCGGTGCGCGGGTTAAACGGTCAACGCTTTTGCGCAAAACGCAAGCTAAATGATGAGCAACACGGCAAGGGGGAAAGCAACGTCCCCTCGGTCGAGCTGATGTAAAAGATTTACGTCGAAAGGCCTATTACCTTGGGCAAAGCATTCAGAAGCATTTTAGCTCTTTCGATCTGCTTACGACTGAGATATTGAGGCAACATTGTCAGGTTTTCATAAGGAGCTGCCATGTTAATCACATTTGTTGCTAGTGACCAAGTGACACTTTGTAATAACCCTGTCACCCCAATGTTTTCATTTGAAACTTGCGAATTAAGCTTAGAGTAAAACTCATTGAAGTTAGGATGCTTTGAATGGAAGAGTTTAGCAGAGCCAAAGACCACGCTATGCAAAACTTGTTGGGCAGTCTCCGAACGGGAAATTCCGGGTTAATTTAGAGGTTATAAAGTTTAGCGTGCCTTCATCCTCCCACTTCAACTAGCCTCGGCGGCTCCTATCAAACGAGAACTACGAGGGGGTATCGAAAAGTTCTGATCATCACCATGAATTAGATGTGATAGAAATCTGATTTTTTTACATGATGTTCATTACTCCTTTACAAGTCACCACACACGACCGCAAACTTATTGCATCGTTTCTTCAGCTGCCTGAGGCGGTCATTGTAGGACCTTCGCACTGTCCCGTAAATCACTGCTCCACCTCATCAATGACGTCATTTCTGTCCATAAAACACCGGCCATAGTGTGGATTCTTCATCTCCCGTAACAATCAAGAGTCAGTTAATACCTGGTCAGGTGCATTTGTTAGATGCGGTAGGATTTAATGTCCACATCATGTTGTTTTTTCAATCGCAGCTCAGGACGAATTGGCGGGGGCGCTGTCGGTGCGGATAAAACATCTTTCTTGTTTTTTTTTTTGCGGCGATTTTGCTAGAGGCCATCTCGCAACTTCTTAAAAACTGTGCATTAGTGCTTGCTTATCATTATCCGACCATCATCAAGACAGTCGGTAATGACTATCCTACGCCAGATCCAGAACACTGATAGCATTGCCCTTCCATATCGGCTTCTGCATCTTCGCCTTTTAAGAAGGACAGATGTGCCGTGCTTAAACTTCTTGATCATCTTTTTGTCTCTGGATCATACACATAGACCCAGCATTCGTCACAAGTCATCAAATGATCGAAGATGTCTTCAATTTCCTAAAAAAGGCCTAGTTTTCATTTCGAAAGGTCAAGACGCATTTTTCTCTTGAACAAAGTAGACACACGAACTTCTAAGCGGGCTGACTCCTTTATCGTCTGTAGTTCTTCGCTGATAATATTTTCAGGCACTGCCAGCATTGAAACCTTTCTGTTGCACAATCATCTGAAAGGTCACACGACGATCTGTAAGGATGAGGTCCTCCACTCCCTTCACAGTCACCACCTTGTCAGTCATTGGTAATCACTCACTTCTTGACTCCCCTGCAAGGGCCATGCAACCAAGTTGAAAATTATTTCTTCATTTTCGCTAAGTGCACGAAATGGGCTTTCCTCGCCATAAACTAATTTCACGTTTTTGATGCATTTTCTCAGTGTGATACCGTTTCAAATGCATCAGTTGGATGACGGTTCGGTCCTCAATGGGCCCAACACCAATCTTTTTTACTTATAAGTCTCTCCTACATAAGATAAAACCACTTCGCAGGATTCTCTTTGCGGGAACATTGTTCTTAAGAACCAAATATCACACCAACCAAAAATCATCAAAATCGGTCTATGTCTTCTATGTGATGATCAGAACTTTTCGATACCCCCTCGTATCCCCGTGAGCTATCTCCACATATCGTTCTCCGGTGCGACTTGCACCGATATTGATATCATCAGAAGTCGAGCTCTCTCCCAACTAAGATGAGAATGACTACCCGTGACCTGGAAACTTGAATTGAGCGAAATGTGCCCGAACTAACGACACAGCTAAGCCATTCAGTCATTTGATCACAAACTTCATTTCTATTCACACCATAGCCTTCGAGTGCCATTCGTTTGCTTTCTAGTCACAGCACAGAAACTAAGTTATCCAGGCTTGGTTTCAGCATCCAGCGGGGCATCGAAAATCAACAGGTTCGACTGGGCCGGGTCAGACAGATTTACAGGTGCCGATTGCATTCTTCTCGTCCCTGCTCTGGCGCCCAGGAGAGCCATTCCAATGTACAGAGCTTCTGCCACTCGGTTCCTTGGAGGACCGACAGCACGCGTCTGGCCACATATGATCAGAGCGAGCTGCAGCTGTAGAAACTAGAAACGCGCTGACCGCCGCGTAATATCAGCGCCAGAAGAGCCTCTCAGTCTCCCACAGCTGAACTCTGACGTCAATCAAAGCTGCAAAAAGCGCACGGCCGCCTGCGGTTACCGCTGGCTACTCGAGCGCACTGCAGCGAAATCATATTTCAGCGAGCCGTCTGTGATCCCAGCGCTTACTTCACGTCCGACTGAGGCGAATCGAGCCACGGAGAATGATGGCGTCTGTTTTGGAGACAAACACACTGTGTTTATTCGTGTGTTTATCCCAGCGGTAGAGGCGTCGGATCCAGTATACGGCACTTTAGGGATCCTGTTACACCGAAAGTTGGTGCCAGAGGAAACAGGGCTCTGCTTACGATAACGCTATCGAGGTCATGCAAATGTCATTGATAAAGAAGTGACAATGAAATAACAACACAGTTCTACATTTTGCGTCGTATGATAATATTTGCTTGCTTCACCTGTGTTTGCTGTGTGCTGGCTATGTTGTGTGGAGTTGCAAAATATCATTAACACTTTTTTACATAAAGGGAGATACTTCTACATGTGCCTTTCTTGATCTAGCGAAAACATGCAGCCTTACGACTGCCTCGTCTACTTCAGTGCCGCTTTTTGTCGTGTGTTTTCAGTTGCGCCTCTGAGCGTCTATGAGTGTATACCATGTTTCTCAGAGTCACCCTGCACGATTCCGTTTCTGTGTGTTTCCAGTCGCGCCGCTGAGCGTGTCCATCCTGGGCAAGGGCGAGCCGCTGTCGGCCGGTCGCCGCTACCCGCTCGTGTGTCAGTGTGTCGGCTCCCGGCCTCCGGCCGCCATCACCTGGTTCCTGGGCAGCTCACGGATGGCCACCGCTCCCGGCACGGTAAGTTACCGTTCTATTACCATGGTAACACGACCCATGAAAGTGACCAGCAAGCCTGGTAACGTAAGTCAGTGCCATTAGCATGGTAGATTACCGTAATGGGGTGCCTACAGCGCCAGGCATTGTAACTTACCGTTGTAACACACGAGTATTAATATGGTGGCATGTAATTTGTTTGGCCATCGTGACAGCTGTTGGATGCCATTGTGCGGTGCTGTGGCATTACAATGCTGCAGCTGCCTTCGCCATTACTTGGACTCTTTACCTAGTTTGTCGGTTACTCATTGCGTGTGTGTTCAATTCGACTAGGCTTCTTGCATCAACGACGAATAAACCTGTGATTTGCATAAAGAGAGCACTCGCGTGTCCACTGCTTGGTAACTGATTAGAGATGCGCATTATATGTAGGTAGGGGTGTTTGGCTTTGTAACAGCATCAACCGCTTTTAATGAATTGCAAATGCAATTTGAGCATGTTGCAGCAATGACTGATTTTTTAATTGTACTTTGTGTGTAAAGTTTTAATTATTCTACTAAATATGATGGAAATGAGCTGCTAGGAAACGAGTAACAAGGCAATATGAATGAAATGAAATTTAAATGAAATTAAAGCCGATTATGTAAATAGATTGAGCATCTTGCATGCTTTGTTAAACGCTTCGAAAACTAAGCACAGATTAAATACTTGTAGGACCTTTGCGTTTACCCTGACAACTTGCTCGGGGCCACGCCGCCGTGTGACCTAACCACTGACCACTCACACTGACCATCCAGTAACGGTCTGTCGCTGCCCCGAGTACACGGGTCAGGCAGTCAGTCCTCCTCTCATACACATGCTCGCACATCCTCCGTCAGCAGCTCCCTCCATCTTCCCCTATTGATCGACGGCACAAGAAAATTGCCTGGAAATGCCCGGGAAATAGAATGAGATATGATCGTATGGAAAATAGGATCGGCCGCCGCGCGGCGCGCTGCGTTTGAATAGGCCATCCCCCGGCGTGGGATGGCCGACTCGATCGGGGGGATAGGGGGTAGGGGGGTCATGAGAAGTTATCCGGCGGACGGCAGAAAGCAGAGAGGCACCGTCGAAGCGCCTTACGTCACGCGCCAGAAATGAGTTAAAACTCGACGTTGTGCCAGCCAAGAAAGGAGCGCGTATTGGAAAGGATGAGAATGATGAGCTGTGTGTAAGAGCTAAACCTTTGAGTAGTTTTATGATAGCTTGGTGGGTTTGAAACAAATGAGCCAAAATATTTGCTGCATGAACTCTTATTTTAGTAGGGTTCAGCGTTTCCTCATGCGCATGTGCTGTGTCTATTATGTGTACAATATGCTTCCATAACAGAAGCGTGTGGAGCTCGCACAGCGCATTTGGGCTTTTTCGGGGATCCTTCATCATAAGCGGATGTTCAACTATCAGCTTATCCAAATTCAATAATCACTTTAGGTATGCCACCGTACAGTGGCATGCGAATAACTTTGATGAATGCCATCTGACATGCTTACACCCCTTACTGTCAGTCAGCCCCACCGCTTGTTGTCAGCGCTGCAGTGCGCCGAAGGAAAAGTCGGCAGGTTTTCCACAGGAAGAGCCGACAATGTTTTCCAGGGCGAGAGTCGGCTGCTTCTCAAGGGATGGCCACAGTGCCGCCGTCCAGATCTAATTTCAACTCTGAATAGGCAAAGGTCTTGGCGGACCCTTGGAACACAAAGGTAGTTGACAATTTATCCACACACCGGAATTGAATTACGCAGGACTTCTTGTTGAAAAGCATCCCACTCAGGAACAATGCTGAAATGAGGGCGCATTTTTATGAGCTGGGAGGTGACCCTTGCTGACATACACCTATCTATGGATACAATTCGACATTCGGCAAAAAATAAATGTCAATGTTTGTCGGAAAAGTTTGTCGCTGTATGATGGTGTTGATCCACATTTTATTCGATGAAGGCATGAAATGCTTCTGCTTCTTCCCCTACTTTATGTAACGAGATTCGTGTTATTTTTTGTGGTTTACGAATCATGCCACATTGTCGTCATTGGAGCTCGTCCAAAATGCCATTGGAAGATTATTGATGATGTGGCTCTAAGAGGGGAAATGCCATACTCTGATGGCCACAAGCCACTGGTTTTCCTTTGAGATGCACGACCCAAAAATGTTTATGTGATATTGTGATGCCATTGTCTTCCCCGCTTCACACGACAGGCTATTTTTTTTTTTTTTTGCAAACTTACTGTATCCTCGTGAAGCCGGTTTTCAAGCTAAGAGAGTGTTTATTCACTTGATGATTTGTCAACCATATGATGCGGTGAATATGTTAAGTGTGTTTGCTTAGTATTTTCAACACTACACATTCATAACACTTTGGGATGTATGTAAACACGGATCTTTCACGCAAAAACGGAAGTCAATGTCGCATCGTAAGTTAAGTGCTTTCTTATTAATTATCTATATAGATATCATTGATAAGTTCGGACCATTGAGCATATGTCACGACTAGCTTGTTATCACCCCAATGTGTTACAATGTGCTGTAAATGATCGGCAGAGCCCACGCCATCGATTCTTCTGGGAACAAAGAGCAACAGTCAGTAATAGCCAATACAGGTCACCGCTCGAAGCGTCGTCACCCGACACCGGACCTTTCTATACAAATCGGAACATTTCTGACCCGGCGCTCCCGGATCATAGCCGATGACAGGGAAATTAATGGCACTTCTACCATTACGCCGAGAAACGACGCGCAAAAGCGCCACTATACCTAACCCGATGTGCCGATACATGGACATATCATCGATCACTTGAAATGCGTGGGCGCCGTCTCAGTCATCACCGCTCATAATAATTTACGGTAGGAATAGTAGTGCTATTTTATGAGGACAAAGTCGTGAGCCATTACTCTCTTTGGAGTATCATGATTTACAGAAAACCCCACATGCTCTTAGCACGTGTCTCGATAGCACCATAACCAGACAGAGGTAACAAATAGGACAGGAAGACACGAGAAGACCAAAATGGTGGCCGTATATTACGAGTTGTGGCCGTTGGCCTTTGAATGGGTATCACTGAACGGAAGAGACGAGACAGTGCGAGGAAATGCGAACAAAGAGCGGCGGGAGACGAAGGACGGGGGTACGACGCGACGGAAATAGCCGTGCGTGAACAAAGAGACTGTGTATCATGACCTGACAGTTCAGTATAGATCCTTCGGCCTCCGCTCGGGTACGGCTTTCCGTTCACCTGATCGGCCTCTCGAGACTGAATAAGGATATGCAGTAATGGAGAGATGAAGGCAGAGAGAGAGAGAGAGAGAGAGAGAGAGAGAGAGAGAGAGAGAGAGAGAGAGAGAGAGAGAGAGAGAGAGAGAGAGAGAGAGAGAGAGAGAGAGAGAGAGAGAGAGAGAGAGAGAGAGAGAGAGAAGGAGAGAAGACTAGGGATCGGAGAGATCGATCAGAGAACTGAAGAGAGACCCACTACACCCGCCTCACACGGCATTACGCACATGTTTGAGTAGGCTGTGCTGTTTTGGATCAATGAACAGACTTAGACGACTGACATAGGAGGCAGATATATCACCCCTTTTGTTGTCGTTGTACGCTTTTTATGGTATGACGATTTGCTAAATTTACTGCATGGTTGTTTCAGGAAGGAGTACGAACCGTGGACTGTAACGACCTAAATATGTTGTTTTATTTTTCTTCTTGGTTATTAGGGCGAGAAACAATAAAACGGCATTTTCTTGATTTGACAAATAATTTCAGGATGCTTGCGATTATATGTAACTACGAGTATATTCGATGATGAAACGGTGCACTTATTTGCAATGCATTGTAGACCGAGGACTGTATATCTATAACCGGGATGCTTCAGTGAGTTCCAACTAAATTTCTTACCATAAGTAGACACAATTTTTGCTGATTTTATTTGATCAAGCGGACTGTTTGTTATGAGTCCCTTTATTTCACTACAAAACATAGGCATTGGCAGCGCGTTACAACAGAACGTGTGATATCGGCTGGGGTATCATCGTTTTTTCTCCATGTATCTCCGCAGCTCCAACCTCCAAAGTTTCCGCTCAGCCGCTATGTTTGGAGACCGTGTTGGCCCAGCCGCGGGCCGGGAATCGATCCGGCGGCCGGCAGCGGCGTTTTTGTCACGCCCCAGGCGTCCCCGAGGTCACCAGGCGGGCGCCGCGCCCGCCAGCCAGCCTTCAGAGAGTGTTTGAGGTGCACTTGGCGGCCACTGGCGGCCCTCCGCTGATGAGGGCACCCGCCTCCCGCCCGGGCGCACCCGCACCGACATACACGGGCGCGCCCGCAGCCTGTCGGCGGCAGAGTGAAGGAGAGCTACACGGCAGAATGCGGGAGTGGATCCATCAGTCACAGAATGGGAGAGGGTCATTCGTGGGAGAGCACATTTCCAGACTGGTGCTGGAGGCTTATGGCAGGACGGTGGCTTGGATATCAACAAAGCAACTGAACTTTCGAAGTTTGGTCTCTCTCTCTCTCTCTCTCTCTCTCTCTCTCTCTCTCTCTCTCTCTCTCTCTCTCTCTCTCTCTCTCTCTCTCTCTCTCTCTCTCTCTCTCTCTCTCTTTATTTCTCTCTATTTCTTTTTCTCTCTGTCTGTGCTTCTTTTTTGTCTCTTCCTTTACCTCTCTCTCTCTCTCTCTCTCTCTCTCTCTCTCTCTCTCTCTCTCTCTCTCTCTCTCTCTCTCTCTCTCTCTCTCTCTCTCTCTCTCTCTCTCTCTCTTCCTCCTGAATCATGTCTATTAATTCCCAAAAACACTCGGCTATATGATCCCTCACCAGACTGCGTGATTAAGAATTGATTTTGATGCATTGCGATGAAAGGATTTCGTCAGCCATAATTAATGCCAGCTGTCCGGATGGTTCTGCGGGATCTGGCCGCCGCCACCTTTCGAAGACTAATCACACGAAATGTATCGAGCGGCAAACTTGGCCAAACTGAAACAGAGGTTGTTCAAGAGTTGGGAATACATTTGAATACATTCATTTTGCCGGCTCTGCCAAGTCATAGTTTCATTTGTTATCATTATTTCGCGCGATGTCGTGGGCTCAGCTGGGGCGATTGGCGGCAGTGGGAGGTCGCTGTTCCTCTGTTCGGCACGCTGACGGTCCTGTTTGCCACAGAAGACGACGCACAAGGGGAACGTGACGCTGACGACTCTGCAGTTCACACCGCGGCCCGAGGACGACCAGAAGGTGCTCTTCTGCCGCTGCCAGAACCCAAAGGTGCCCTCGGCCACGCTCGAAGATTCCTGGCAGATCGTCGTGCAGTGTGAGTACTTGCCTGCAATTTACATAACTATGTGACGATCGGGTCAAACGCAGGGATTGGACTGTGGGGTGAGAGCACTTGCTGTAGACGTAAATGTCTGAATATTTTCACGATTTCTACAGCGTCTGGATGTATTCAGGGATTCGAATATCCGAGGATGGGAGACGGTGCGCTGGCTAAAATGCATAGCAATTAAGTGTTCTCTCTGTGGTGCCTGTATAGTTATCAGGGACAACTCCAAGTACACGCATGCTACTGTCATTTTTCCGAGATTGTCATTAAACCTGGGTTGCCAAAGCATAAACGTAAGCATAATAATGCAATTTATTACGGTCGTAAGTCATAACCGTCCGTTCAATTATTGACTACGAATCACGGTCACTATTTTCAATACCAGTCACTATTTTCAATACCATAAATGATTACACATGTGTCACGATAAGAAAAAAATCATTTGTCTGCTGGCGCACTATCGGGTTAAATGCCTTGTGCCAAGGCATGCAACGCATAGCGTTTCGGGCAGCTTCGTAGTGCGCTCGCCATAGCAGCAGCATTTGTAATAATTACATTCTGGAGGAAGTCGGGTACCCTTTGGATCCGTTTCATGTTAAGTGACCTAATCAGATATTCGAACCGGTGACATTCAGCCGGCACTCGGAGAATCCAACGGCCGAGTGCTGCGGGCGGCCCCGGATTTTATGCAGCCGTCGCCGTTCAGAGAATCACAGGCGATCGTTGAGATAACTTTGAGCGCCCTCCAGTTCGGTCCAAGGCCGGGAACTGCACGCGGCCCGCTCATTGAGCGCGCTCCGATCCTCTTGTCCTCGATTGGGGGCACTCATTTGGCGTCTGGCTGCGGCAGGAGCCACCTCAGCGGAATCTAGCCCCTGACTGAGCCGCCGAGCCTTCCGGGCTGCACCTGCGGCCACCTGACCGGCCTCTCGCTACGCCAATAGCGATCTGCTGCCATGTGCGACAGACCATTGACCAATCGGATTCTGCGAATGTCGCAATGGCAGCTATTACACCTCATCGCACCTCATATCAGCCCACACGCGGGTGGCGTGATCGCATTTCCTCCTCCACTCATCGTATCACGATTCTCCGTACGCGCAGCCTCTCACCGAATCGCTGAACTGCGCGCCGGTGTCGCCCACCCACCCCTCCACTCCCTCCGTTGACACCTGTGCGTCTGTTGGCACCTGTCCGGTTGTTCCGCCCCTCGTCGTGTCGGCACGCCCGTGTCGGTGACGAGGTGTCGACGACGCCGTCGTCGGCGATGAGCGTGACAAGACGCCGCCAGCAGGCGAGCTTCCTTCTGGCGATCAATACTGGCAGAGACGGACGCCGCCGGGCCGGCGGGAGGAGCGGCCCGGCCGACCGCCCGCTTTAGTAGCACGGACCGCGGACGGAAGGGTCCAGCGGAGGACTGAGGACTGCCGTCAAAGCGGAGGACTGCCGACAAAGCGGAGGACTGAGGACTGTCGTAACCGGACGGAGGACGGAGGACGGACGGGGTCCGGCGGAGGACAGACGGAGGACTGAGGACTGCCGTAACCGGACGGAGGACAGAGGACGGACGGGATCCGGCGGAGGATGTGGGGGGACGGAGGACGGACGTGAGGGGTCCGGCGGAGGATGTGGGGAACGGAGCATGGACGTGAGGGGTCCGGCGGAGGATGTGGGGGACGGAGCATGGACGCGAGGGGTCCGGCGGAGGATGTGGGGGACGGAGCATGGACGCGAGGGGTCCGGCGGAGGATGTGGGGGACGGAGCATGGACGCGAGGGGTCCGGCGGAGGATGTGGGGGACAGAGGGCGGACGTGAGGGGTCCGGTGGAGGACAGACGGGGCGGAGGACGGGCGGGGTCCGATGGAGGACCGAGGACAGAAGGGGGCGGAGGATGTGGGGGACGGAGGACGGACGTGAGGGGTCCGGTGGAGGACAGACGGAGGACAGAGGACGGACGTGAGGGGACCGGTGGAGGACAGACGGGGCGGAGGACGGGCGGGGTCCGGTGGAGGACGGAGGACGGATAGGGTCCGGCGGAGAAAGGACGGGCCAATGATAAATGGAGGACGGACCAGGAACGATCGGGGTCCGACGGAGAAAGGAGGACGGAAGGGACTGACTCGGGACAGAGGACGGACCGAAGACAGACCGAATTCGACCGAGGGCGGGTCGTTAAAGAACAGGAATACAATGAGGAATGGAGGGCGTCGGCTGAGCACATGAGACGGTTGTTGAGAGAGAACAGGAAGTTATGTTGATGACTCGGAGTACTGTTGGGAGAGAGCAATGATCTTCTGTTGACTGGGAATAGCGGCAGCTGTATGCTGAGGACCTAGGACAACTGTTCGTTGCCAGCTGAGGTCAGCGCACAGCTAAGTCTGAGAACACTGATGAACAGACTGAGGACACTGATTATAGCACTGCGACTGCCATTCTGAAAACTGTCAACTGGCACTAATTGGCACAAAATTGCAAATGATCTACATTTGACACAATATAGCGCATGTGTCAGGATCACGAGGCAAGGATAGTCGGACGCATTGAACAAGTGTTGCGGGCGCACGTGATATGCCGGTAAATTGTCCGGGCCGCGACATTATGTTAGCTGAACAAATCAACATAAGGTCAAGCCAGTCGTCAACATTTTTTTCCCGCTGAAACAGGCGCGGCTGTTATGTGAAATGTTCCCAGCAAATTATATAGCCATGAAGTTCAGTGGCGACCACAGCTATATTAAATCATTGCTGAGAGCTTATCAATATTTGTGGCTGAAAAGAGACTGCATTATTTCAGAGTCACAAGAGTTGGCATAAACTATTTGTTTACTTAAATGTTATTGTGAGGCTGCCGCAGAGACCTTTTCCCCTACAAAAAATTAGTCCCTGCCGAGCGTAGTGCTGGTTGGATTTTACTTGATAGCTAAATATAATATTGTGTGTATTCCTATACGTTTCCGCTAAACAAAGTCGGGTTAGCGTGACGCCAATCTCAACTTCACCAAAGTGATCTGTCTATTTCGGAAGACTTCTCATGATTCAGAGCTCTCCCGGGAACTTGGCGTTATCAGTTGCGCCAATGAAAATGACCACGGAAAAGTTAGCCACGGTTATATATCAAATCCCTCCTTCATAATGAACTCGGAGAAAGTGTCAAACTGAAAATCCTTTCCGCCACCTAAGTGAGACTATCTCGGCACACTCGACTGTGGATGACGCTAAATGAAAACTGGAGTGCGACAGTCGTGAAAAATGGCTCAGAAGATTTAACCGTCTTTTTGGGTCTGCGTTCTCTTTGGCTGAGCCCGCCATGAAAGTCATAGAGTTACAATAGAGGTGGTTCGGGCCGGCTGTTGTCGCTCTGATGGAGTGGAGTGTGGAATGGAATTTGGAGTGGAGTGGAGTGCGCTTCCACGGCGCTAAACACGGCGGGTGCTGTTTTGCGGGCACTTGAGACGCTCGAGTGCCTCCTGTTGATGCCTTGTGGTCTTGGGTAGGGCGTCTGAGTGAACTGCCAAAATGGAGTGACGTTGTGATCTGTCGGCATAGTGGCTGTAAGCTATTGCTATGATGCTCTCCTAATACTCACGAAATGTAAAATGTGTGTTAGTGTTAGTAGTAGGATAACTTTTATCCTTTGTACAAATGGAAGAAGATAGGTTAGTGGTGCATAATTGGAAACGTAATTGCTCAAGTCTGACGACGGATCATTTCCAGTGCCTTAGCCCGGCAGTTGCTGGGGTATTTCGCCACCCACCGTTTGCTGGGGGGGGGGGGGCGTTAAACGCCCCCAGCCGATAACTCGAGAACCAATAGGCGCAGCGAAACGCACGAGGCGGCAAACGAAAGAACGCGACGAGACGCTTCAGATGAGTACTTTAAAGTTGAATTTTGAGGTCACAGGTCAGGTCAAGGTCAGGTCAAACACCTGAAATCGGGCTTTCAGTAGCATGGACTTCAGGACTTCGCAATGGGCGCCTCTCGTCATAAACTCTGTCAAAACGGTGCACAATCCATCATATAAGGCCTACAAGAGTGTCAGCTCTATGCAGGGGTCAGTCAAGCATAGGTCAGGGTCAAGGTCAGGTCAACCGGGCAGGCACATATCCCCGAAAATCAAAACTGATATTCGCAGCCTGTGACACATGTTTTATGGGTAATTTGGGGCGTAGAACACGATGGTGACGTTCATTTTATCATATGTGTACGTGTTTGGCTGAAAAAGTTCAATTTAAGAAATTCATGTATCATGGTCGTGAAGTAGTCACGAGAAATTGCCAAGATTCAGTTCAATATTTTGGAAAATGCGGAACGATAATCAATAATCGAAGATAGCCATTTGATTCTTCATGGTATTGGCAGTCTAATGGCGTTTACGGCATGTCTATATGTCTATTCTGTGATTTTATATGATTTTTTAAACATATGCCGTTTTTGGTCGAAAACTCAGAAATCATGACGTCACTAAAACCTCGATATCTCAAACATTTTCCGACCGATTTTTTTGAAACTTTGACACAATAAACTTCAATTAATTCCCTACAGGTACCCAAAATTTGGCGCGCCTGCGGCGCGCCGTTTTTATGCTATGGCCCGGCGAAAAAAGTGGGGGCGTTTAACGCCCCCCCCCCCCCCCAGCAACTCGCGGGTTAGCTTCAACGAAAGGCAACGAAAACGTCGCAAAACGTCATGAGTTCGCAAAACATCATGCAATTTCGCATCGGCTTACCGTACTTTTATCTGTTTCTATCTAGTTATATCTAATATCTATCTTATAGTCACCGAGTTAAATAGCTGAATCATCTCCGATCATCTTCGTCACGACCTGAACGTGACGCATGATATTGAGGCATCAGGAAACGTCAACACTCATCGGCTTATGGCTTTTATTGCTTGCCAATATAAATATCGGCTAGACTCCGTAATCCGCATCGACACCGCTGTAAAAACAACCACCCAATATGACGTTGATGAGAACAGCTTTAGACAAATGATGCAAATTGGGAAGAACAACAAGCAAGTGATGGTTAAAATATCGCGGATGAAAAAAGTATGGCCGCAGCCTCGCTTAGCTGAACCAATAACCAGTGGCTAAACGGCTTATACACGTCCTGCCGGAATCCACGACATCTCGATGGGTGTTAGCCTACTTCGTTTGTGTCTAAATTGTGTGCTGTCTTCAGTCTTTTTATCTAACCCTTGGCGTAAGTTTACATGTTGATTGTGTCGCCTGTCTTTTTCCTGCAGACCTGCCTCGTGTCACCGTGACTCTGGGCAATTCTCTGGACCCGGCCCACATCAAGGAGGGCGACGGCGTCTACTTCGAGTGCAGCATCAGGGCCAACCCGCCAGTGTACAAAACCGAGTGGAGACACAACGTGAGTAATGACTTTATCGACAGCGGCAAAAGAGTCATTGGACGGCTGGTGGCTGCAGCATATCAATTCTTCCGTGCGTCTTACAGCAATTTTTGCGACTAATATATTATACGTAAGCTTGTGATATGATTGGTTATAGATGTTTCTTAATTTGCTTATTTGTTAGCTGATGTCTCTTCGGAAGGGCTACAAAGTTATCCTGGAGGCTATTTCATAATCACAAAAGCTTGTAACGAGATGCCAATGCATGCCACTTGTTCAAAGGTGTCTCATTTTGATGATAAACGCCCACAAACAAGTTCTGGATGCGTTTCTTTGTAAAAAAAAGTCATCACAAGACGTACGAAATTTTCATTTTCCAGAATCGGCTGCTGGAACACAGCGTGAGGGACAACATCATCATCAGCAACTATACGCTGGTGCTGCAAGACGTGAAGCGGTCCAGCTCCGGCGTATACATGTGCATCGGCTTCAACGTCGAAGGCGACGCCGAGAGCAACCCCATCTTCCTCGACGTCAAATGTAAGTGGTCCGCACATCGATTCCGATTTTGATGTGGCTTTGATTGCCTGGTTAGGATTGGCGCATATTGGATCGCATTATCGAAATGTTGCCTCACACGAATCGGTAATGTTTTATTAATTTACCGTATTATAATATAGCATTTACATCAGTTACATTTAGGTCAATCCCTTTTCCCAATCCCCCAAAAAAGGTCCCAAAAGTGAACTTTTTCATATATTCATCAACCTCTAATTAGTCTCGCTGCCCTTCAAGAAACCAATCCGAAACATGTATGTCTAAAATGTGCCTGGCGTTACACCAGAGGGGCTGAAATGAGGCAACATCGTCCAAGTTAAACCAGATACAAGCCCGTGGGATTGCACTTTGATTCAGCATCGGCTTAGTGCTGCAAACACGCACCTAATTTAGCAAGACATCTGTATTCTTGCAACTAAGTCTGGCTTCTGTCTGCCGAAAACAACGAACTAATTATAACCTGCACGCACACATTTGGATTGCACCTCAGTATGCCAATAGATATGTCGCCAAGCTTGAGGAGCTTGCATGCGCCAGGTAATTGGTTCCGCTTTCGACGTTGAATTCCTGATATCGCGGACTGACTGGCGTTTCTGGTCATCAACATTCCTTGCCAGTATGTCATCAAACAGTCGACATCTCCGATTGTAGATACGAATGCCACTGAAGACTCCCAATTACTAACTGCGTTCCACCAATCATTCAGCAAAGTGCGGGATGCGTCTCTGTAGCGCCGTAGCGCTGGAGATTGCCTCGGCGCGTGTCACATCAGGCCGGGAGTACGGGCCGTTCTGCTCGGGGCGTCGACGGACGAGCTCTCAGCGGTGACGGGCGGTGACGGGCGTGGCTGATCCATCGGCGTCAGCGCTGACCGGTGGCGCTGATCCATCGGCCGCCATCCGTCATCGGACCCGTCCGCGGCCGGCGCCGCACCGCTGGCGCACCGAGACGCGGGCGAGCGCATACTTCGCCATGGACGCTCCCTGTAAACACATACTTTGTATGTAGGGCACCAGTCGGGAACTTACAGGGCACCATGTTATCCATGTTCGGCAATAGGCTATCACTCCCGGCAGTGGCTAGAAGTCTGATGTGACAGTGGACTTGAAGCCAGGTGTAGCGCCAATGAATCCCACTGCGATATTGCCTGAACATCTGTGCTCGTTCGTCTATTGTAGCGACTGGAATGGCTGGATACAGTGCGTCCAATTACCAGTGGAATTTACAGTTGCGCAGATATCAGATCACAGATGTTATGTGGAGATGTGATGTTATTGCAAGTTTGATATTGTGACTGTAATATTGGAATGGCCTTGCGTTATATTGACATAATGTGAAAGCATCTTTTGATGCATGCTACGCCGCAGGTTTGTTTTACCTTGGCTCTCATAGATGTTCAAAAATAATGATCGCAATTATTTTTTTTCTCCAGACATCCACCTCAACTCAGCTTCTGTAACATCGCTACTCGGCTTCTATATATTTTTCAATGCCCACGATCCAAAAGCTTACTCAAATATCTCAAACTCCCTGACTTCATCTGGTAAAAGGCTCACTATTATAGTGCTCACACAGTTGATTTAGCAATCATTTACAGGCTATGCTGTTCAATTTCCTGTAGTATGTGACCGTCCTTCTCACGCGGCGTTCGATTCCTTTACTCGTGCGGCCAGGGGCCATTGGCGAACATTGTCGTGACGGAGTGGCCGACAATACTCGAGTTGGGCGGCGCCGTGAGCGCAGTAACGGCGGACTGGCCAGGTGATGGCGGCCGCATTGCCCCGGCCCGGACGCCTCCGAAGTACCGCTGCCGATGAGACCGGCCCGCTGGGGAGCCGTCGACGGCCGAGGCGGCCGCTGAAAGAGGTCACCGACGGGGCAGGGCCAGACCGAGGGAAAGAGTAGGGGGGGGGGGGGGGGGGGTCGAGGGTATATTGTAGAATAGGTGGGCTGAGCGTAGTTACTATTGGAATGGGTGATTTCGGAGCTTGTCTTCCCGCGGCAGCATTCCTCCTTCAAAAGAAGCACTTGACCATTCCCTAACTATCAATGACTTGATGTCTATCTGCAAATACCCAAGAGTGCGTGCTAATATAGATTTTACTTTTACAATGCACCGTCATATCACACCAGCTGTTGCTAGGCCAAGGTGCTTTACACCAACTACAGCACTTTACGGACCATATTCATACTTTGATCACCGACTGGCGTGAGGTAATTTTATTCCCTTCGAAGTTTCAACAACGCTCTGGTGTGGTTACTAATCAGCCGTCACTTACCTACTTTAAGCGGATAGTCCTGGCGGATATATGCTTACCATTATGACATTTTTTGCTTACCATTATGACCAGCACTTGCCATCCTGTACCATTCGTCAGGACAGGGCTTGGGGATTTGGCGAGCCACCTTGCCTCGGTAAAGAAGCCATGCCTACTGCTTCATTCAAGAGCAGGATAATTAAACCTCTAACATTGAATATGCAAACGTTTTATTGGAACAGAAGTAATTACGAGCGAGCGAGCGCAGCGAGCGAAGTGAGTCTTTTCAATATAACGGAAAAATCTCAGTATGAGCGGCCCGGCCCGGCCCGGCCCGGCCCGGCCTGTAACGCTTTTGAGAGGTTTATATCTCAGCAACCGCTGGACCGATTGGCCTGCGGTCTTTTTTGTTGGGTAGCCCAATCCCTTCTACCCCGTAATTGACTACTTTTGATACATCTCAGTGACCGTCGTGGCACGTGCCACGTGAAAAGTCAGGGGTGTTCAAGCTGTTTTGCAAAAGTAGTGATTTTGAGAGGCTCATATCTCAGCAGCCGCTTGGGCGATTGACTTGCGGTAATTTTTGTAGGGTAGCAGCATCCCTTCTACCCAAAATAGGATACTCTCGATGCATGTGGGTCACCCCCAGTGCACGTGCAAAATACAACAATAAGAGGTGCCAAATTTGTTCCCATTTCAGTAACTCGGTAATTACTGGGGCGATTTCGCTGAAACTTGGCATACAGGTAGGCACCCACCAGGCAATGCATTCCCATGTGTTGCGGTTAGGGTGCTACTGCACGTGCGCACGCGCAGGGGGCGTTTTCAGATCTCGAGAACGGCTGGGCCGATTGCGCTCAAATTTGGTACACGGTTGGGGACCAGTTAGTAGGGTGCCGTGCAAAAGTCATTTTGGACCCCGTTTGCACGTGCGCACGTGCAGAATACCGCTTCCAGATCTCAGGAACGGCTGGGCCGATTGCGTTCAAATTTGGCACACCGCTAGCGACCGGTTAGAAGGGTGCTTTGCACAAGCCCGTTGGAAGCACCCTCTCGCCCTTCAGCACGTGCAGGGCTCACTATCTCGCTCGCTCGTTCTTCGCCCAAAAGGCGTTTTACTGGTACAATATTTTATTAAAAGGTTTCGATTCACCCGATGACCCAATGGACGGATCAGATCAATGGTCAGCGTTCCTAGTTTTTTTTTTTTTTGTCAATACGGAGGAACGAATGACTGAAGAGCAAATGGTCACATAAAATAGGTAGCAACATACTTGTCGTGTGAGAAATGTTGTATTATGTGCTTTCACCTCGCTGCAATATGTCAGAAGGCGCCAAAACATCTATACCAGAAGGCAAGACAACTCACCCAGGCCTCGCAATTCGCTCTTCTCGACCAGAATGACCTGACACATGGCTTCATAACTCGACAACTTGACATAACAGGACACCCATATTTTCCTGATGTCCACCACCCGCCACTGCACAGTGCGGCTCTCCACAATGGCCTCACAGCGCTGGGCGAAATTCCCCTGTGTCCGTCCGTCCGTCCGAGCCCCGTCTGTCCAGTCCGACTAGACAGACGTGACCGGGGTTCGTACCTGTCGGCACCGGCGCGCGGCGTCCGCAGTGGCCCCCGGGGACCGAATCAGTGCGGCGGCCCTTTGTGGACTGACCTCCGGCCTTCTGAGGTCAGCGGCCGGTGACTCCCACCGGTCTCCTCAGACACAGAATCGGTCCGCAAACGTAGCAGCCCCGGCCGCGGACCGCGAGTGGGCGCAGTAATGTACGGAGGACGGCGGACACCGCTCGCCGCTCCCCTGAGCATCCGAGACACACCTGTACGCGCGTGAGCGCCAGTGAACGCGATGGCTTTCCCGAGATTGGCTGGCTTTTTGTGCTGCGGTCATACGGAGAGAAACTATTTAATAGCGTTACGCAACAAGAATGCAATATCGGTGTGCGTTTATTATTTTATATTCTCTTACGCAATAATAATGTGTGAGGGACGTTTTATAAATAGATAGGTTTATAAACAGATAGGAAAATGCTATAACAGTTCTTACACGAAGGTCTCTACGTAGCACACCATCCGGAAACACACTATGATGTGAGCCTTTTATCAAAGATGGCATAACATCAACTCAGTTGTCGGTGTCTGAAACCCAGGAGTATAAATAACATCCGCCAGTTATAATCACCTATTCATCGAAATAAAAATTGCTAGTTTTTTATGTGGAAAGAACGAAGTAGGTACGGTGCGAATGATGTGCACTGAGTTCTGAATGTGGAGTCTATTGAAAAATGAATAGATCTGCCAGGCACCTGTAAGAACAATACAGCAATGCAGAGCTCTAAATGAAAATTTTCCGGATCTGTTTTAGCTCTAACCTGTGGCTGACGTTGTCCGTCCAGAGTTGCTTCCGTGTTCGGGTCCGACCTGCCCCGCATATACGGCGTCAACGGCGTTGGTTGTAAGCTAAATATGGATTTATCTATCCGCAGTTGCCCCCGTGTGCCGGCCCGACCTGCCCCGCATCTACGGCGTCTCCAAGAAGGAGCTGGTCACCATCCTGTGCGACGTCGATTCGAACCCCTCCCGGATCCACTTTTTGTGGACGTTCAACAACACGTCCGAGTGGCGCGAGCTGGACAGCCGCCTGGTGAACAGCAGTCAGACGCGCAGCACGCTCCGCTACCGGCCGCGCACCGAGATGGACTACGGCACCGTCTTCTGCTGGGCCACCAACGACATCGGACGCATGGCCAGGCCCTGCGTCTTCCACATCATCGCAGCAGGTGGGCCCAACAGTAGATGGGGAGGGGAGGGTAGTCTTACGGCGATGGTATGAAAGCCAAACTACAAAAGCATTTCGTAAACGTTTTGCAGTTTTGTAAATAAGGTAGTAAACATTTTGGGCAACCCGAAAAATGCTTACCCAGTTTTAAACGACCAGCCTAAGCAGGATGGTACCCGATAACCTTTGGTATCTCGTGCCCGAAGATCCAGATTTGCTATCTGGATTTGCACCTCCAATAGTGCTCATTTATAATCAGGAAGTGCGGGTATGCTGGCTGCGGCACGGTGCATCAATTATGTAGCCAGCAATCATGTAGTGCACCCCTGGGATCGGCGCGGCGCGGTGGAGCAGAGTTCTGACCCACCTGCGGTCTGCTCGGTCCGCCAGGGCCTCCGGACCCGCTCTACAACTGCTCCGTGTTCAACCGTACGGCCGGCGACCTCTCGGTGCGCTGCCTGGAGGCGTTTGACGGTGGCCTCGTGCAGTCGTTCGTACTGCACGTCTACTCGGCAGAGGACGACCACGTGAGGATCACAGGGGTCTCCGGGGTTCGGCAGAGGCCGGAATGGGAGGGAGGGGAGGGAATGCTTGTGGGGCAGGGGAGTTGCGGAAGGACTTCAGGGTAAAATGAGGTCAGATCTGTTGGCGGACACGTGGAACTTGAAACCGCAACTGAGCATAACGAGTGCTAGAGTTATTTTCCACGTTAAATTTGTGCAGCTCGCCGTCAATGTAAGCATTTTTCTTATGCTGTCAGACCCAGATTGCAGTCACTGCATTTTTTCTATCGTTTTATGTTTAATTGATGCAATAGTTTACACATTGTACGACCTTTCCCCTGACTTAATAACAATGTCTGGTGTTTATGAAATATGGTGTTGATAAACATGGTGGTTATAAAATATGTTCGTTGTCCAGCAATACTGAACAAAATATGTCTAGTGTCTAGGATCGGCAATCGCCGATTCCTCTCAACTAATACTGGGACGTACAGAGCGCTGCAGCTATGACCTAGCCAGAGCGCTCTCTCGACCTTTCCAGATCCGGGACAAAGGTCAAAGGAAGCTGTTTGTAGCGTCGTCAGGTGCCATTGTTACAGTACACTTAGCTGCTCAGCGAAAGAATTGGTCGTTAGCCTAGCTACCTCTGTCCGGCAGCTGGTCTACAATAAGACCTCGTCGCGACCCGAGTGGCACGTGCAGGGCCTCATCCCCACGCAGCGGTATCGTATCCAGGCCGTCTCTCAGAACGACAAGGGCAGGAGCGCCACGGTGACAATTCCAGCGGACACCATGGCCGGACCGGAGAAACAGCAGGAGAACAAACAAGGTCAGTGCAGCCCGGCAACGACTCGCTCTAATGCACCCGAGCGACCCGATACACTCGTTAAACGGATGAAAACAGGATCAGTTTAATGAGAAGTGAGCCAAGGTCGTCAGTTGGATGGCGATGAGATCTCGTTTTTATTTCAATACCAGACAGCTGAACTCATTTTACATTCCAATTAAATAGAAATTTGCATAAGTTCTTTGAGCTTGATGTCTTTCTGATACCTCTTTAGCGTCTTGATGTGCTCGTTAATTTCTGCAGAGACGTACTAATTTAGAACTTTCCTTATGTTATCGAATTCCGATCTAGTTCACTGATTTGTCGGCTGTTCGAACTTCTCTCCAATTACCTTTTGTCGAATACCGTATGTTGACTTTGACCGCATCTTGCCGCCGTGTATTGCATCACACGGTTATACAATTTAAACGTCCAGCTTGTTTGCCAAGTTACACAAGTGACCCGTCGCATACATCAAGTTTGAAAAGTTTATTGAAACACCAGTATTGTATTGTATTGTATTGTATTTATTGCATACCATCAACAGGTCCGAAAACCCAATAATAGACGGAGTCAGACATATAAAAACAATAAATACGACACACATTGTTAAAATTCACACTGTATGGCGAACGAACACAGACACACACTTCATAAAACGAGAGCGCCTTCCAAAAATGTCCGCTCCAGGAGTCACCTGGTACAGGCTATTAATCCGACATTGAGTGACATTGATATTGAGTGAGCACCTGTGTAAAATAAAATGCAATGTAAATGCATCTGAGAGCACACGGACAAATGCAACCATTTGCCACCTCATGTGTTCAGAAGACGAAAAGGCACATCTCGTCGAACAAATCGCATTGAATCAAAGCGACCATTCCCGTTGACGTGCAGGCCGAACGTTCAATCTGTAGCCCGGGGTCTCTCTCTCTCTCTCTCTCTCTCTCTCTCTCTCTCTCTCTCTCTCTCTCTCTCTCTCTCTCTCTCTCTCTCTCTCTCATCCTGTGGATCTCTCCTCTCTTTATCCATCCCTCACTTACACTTTCGCTCACCTCCTCCCCATCCCCTTTCCTCCTCCCCATCTCACCTCAACACCTCTCTCTCTCTCTCTCTCTCTCTCTCTCTCTCTCTCTCTCTCTCTCTCTCTCTCTCTCTCTCTCTTTCCTCTCTCCCCTCGCTGTCCCTCCCTCTCTTTCTCACTCTCCCTCCCCTCTCTCCAAGGCATATTTTAACCCGCGCCCCACTGGGGTCTGCGTATAACACGCCCTACTGGGGGGGGGGGGCTATTCATAGCCCCCCCTCCTAACTCCGAAACTACTGGGCCGATCGTCAAAATTCAAACGGCGTCTGATAGCCCCGGAAAAACTGTCGAGCGAAACCTAATTTCATTGACCTCGAGGTCACCGATGACGTCACAGGTCAGGTCAAAGTAAAAATTATTAGCATTTTGGCTTGTTCACTTTTTGGGCTCTGGCCGCCGTCTTACAAGTCAGATCAGGCTCATTTTTGGTTCACACACTCGTGAACAGATGCTCTAGACACCCTGAGGGTAACAAACTTGTACTTCGATTTTCAGGTCAAGGTCAGGTCATCACAGGTCACGAAAATATTATATCATGTGTCGGTCACGTGACACATGTTTTATGGTCCATTTAGGTCAAAGATTTCGAATTTGATGTCGTCTGTGTCATTCGAGGTCATTTTGAGTCGAATTTAGCTTAGGTCAGGTCACTTTCAGGTCAAAAAAGGTCAAACTTTGAAGTTATAATTTTTCAACAAAAAAGGTGTCCATTAGATGCAGTTTGGGCTCAGGAACACGATGGTGCTATTTATATTGGCGTACGATGTCAAATACATGGTGAAAAATTGATTTGAAAAATTCATAATTGTGAATTTTTTGCAATAATGCGTATAACTTGGCCATTTTTGAAGATATTCAGCTAAAACTCGCTAGAGTTATTCATAATAACACGTTCTATCACATATATTCCGTTTTTTTTCGAAAAGTCAAAAACTTTTTGAAAAACATGTAAAAATGTAAATTTTGAATTTTATTATATAAAATTTTCGAAATTTTCAAAATTTCGAAAATCCGAGATAGCAGTTTGATAGCGCAGTTTATTCTGAGTCCTCCCATGCAAAGAAATTGGATCTAGCTTAAAAACTGAGCCCTTGGGAGCGATTGGCGTGGTTCAATGTTTTGCGTCGAAATCGGCCGAACATGACGTCACTCTGACGTCATTTCCGGCCGACCTATGGTAGCTACGAAGTTCAAATTTTGACACAAGGTGTCAAATTGATGCAGCCGAAGGTTCTAAAAGTTTGGCGTCGATACGTCAAGCGGTTTGGAAGTTATTGCAGAAAAACGGGAGGGGGGCTATAAATAGCCCCCCCCAGTGGGGCGCGGGTTAACCCTCGCCCCGTTGGGGGGGGGGGCCATTTTGGCCCCCCCCTGTGGTTTTTCCTAAATAGCAAGAAAACGGCGGCGCGCAGCGCCGCCAAATTTTCAGTACCTTCCCGGGCATCAATTTGACACCTTCACACCAAATTTCAAGTCTTAGGTCACCTTAGGTCAGGAGTTATTGAGGTCAAACTGAGGTCATGTTCGAGCAAAAATGAGCAAAAAACATGCAATCTTGAAACGCTCACCAAATCTACAGTTATCAAGCAATTTCAAAGTTCTTTATATGGTCTAGTAGACAAAAAGCGGCGCTACAAAACTGCTATCTCGGATTTTCAAAATTTTTGGTTTTTGACAAAAAAAAAATTCAAAAAATTGATTTTTTTAGAAAAACTTTGAAAAAATCCAAAATGTTTCCGAATTTCGAAAAAAACCGGAATATATGTGATAGTCCCACCGCTCTTCTATATACATACCAAATTTCAGATCGATATCTCGTTTTTTGGCCAAGTTATAGCGAAAAAAACTGTTCAAAAATGATGACGTCAAATTTTTGAACTCAATTTTTAGCAATTCTAGACCACGTACGGCAAAACAAAGACCACTATTGAACTCCCCGTGACGAGCTGCATCGATTCGATACCCACTTTATGCAAAAATATTAACTTTGAAATTTGACCTAATTTGACCTGACCTTGACCTGACCTTGACCTGACCTTGACCAAAACGTGATCTAAGCTGGCCCCAAAGGCTGCCTGACCCATATAATCACATTTGTCATGTAAAATGGACCATAAAACATGTATCACACGACACTTTCATATTGTGACCCCCCCGTGACCTGACCTCTGTGACCTGACCTGGTATCAGTGACCTCAAATAGCAAAATATGTGTTTGAAGAACATTTCCCCATCGATGATTTTCAATGAAATGCATTTTACTCGATTTTACAACGCATTTCTTGAAGTGCCTGTAAACGGTGAAAATTGGACCTTTGACCTGACCTGTGACGTCATCGGTTTGACCTAGGTCAACAAAATTGGGTCACAAGGTAGTTCCCCGTTGGGGCTATCCAACGCCGTTTACCGCTTGTCGCTATGTTGCGTGGTTCTCGAGATCTTAGGGGGGGGCCAAAATGGCCCCCCCCAACCGGGCGCGTTGCTCGGCAGAGCCCAACGGGGCGCGGGTTAAGGCACTTACTGCGTCCCATTTTGGGACGCAGCCCCCTCGCCTTGGGACGGAGCCCCTGCTGATTTGACCCACTGTGTCCCTGCCCTGTCCGGTTCCCTGACCTGTGCCCTGCTGTCTGCCCTGACCTGTACCCGGCCTTCCCTCTGAAATGTCCTGTGCCATGCCCTGCAACCTGCCGTGCCCTACTTTCTGCCTTCCTCAGTGCCCTACTTTGTTCCTTGTCCTGTGCCCTTAGTCGTAGCACGTGCCCTCTGCTCAGCTTTGGGACGCAGTAGAAATTTGTTAAAATATGTCCTGCTCTCTCCAGACATCACCATAGCGGAGATGCTGCCAGAGCCAGCAGAGTCGTCTCCACCAATGTTGGCCATCCTGGTTGGCGTCGTGGGCTCCGTGTCGCTCCTGCTGCTGGCGGCGCTCACCACGCACCTCCTCTGTCGACGAGGACATCGGCGGAGGGCGCGAGCCGCCGCCGCCGCCCCCGCCTCCACCGCCGCCGCCAAGCCGCAGGTCAAGACGGCTGCGGCCGGACTGGATGACGATGATGATGAAAAGGGCCCAGATGTGGTGCCGGAAGAGGGAGGTGAGTGAGCGGGAGAGTTGGAAAAGGGAGGAGTTTTGTGACGGAGTGACTTCGTGAAGTGACCCGTAGCGTCCTTGAAGGTGGGTTACAACCGCAATATTACTTGATTTGTAATGAGTTTTGCTGTTTGCAGGTGTTTTATAGCCGCATCAACCTCGCTGATGGGCTCACACTTTCCCTCTAACTTTTTATGAATTGTACAAACTTTTTTTCTAATGTCCTCAGACTCCCCCACAAGTCTTCAGAAACACTGTTGTAGCGTTACCCCCCCGACACTGACAGGCTCTATTTTCCGCCCTTAGACTCAACGTATGGCGTCTACCGGATCCCGGAGAACATTCCTGCGCTGCCAGCGCGCGCCCAGGAGCCGGCAGCACCGCTGGGCAGCGGACGAAGGAACGGCGACATCCCGCTGCGCTCCTTCAACCACATAGTGCCCATGGAGCAGGTCAGGGATCCGTACTGGGAGCAGGTCGGGGGGCCGCGTAGGGACAGGTCAGGGAGCCGCCCGGGGTGGGAGGCGGGGGACACGTCGGGAAGCCACGCTGTGTGTGTGTGGGGGGGGGGGAGGTCGAGGGAGGTCGAGACTCGTCGAGGGGGGGGGGGCTGGCAGGTCTGGGAAGAGTCAGGGAGCCGCCCTGGGGGTAGGTCAAGGAGCCGCTCTGGGGGTAGGTCAAGGAGCCGTTCTGGGGGAGGTCAGGGAGCCGTTCTGTGGGAGGTCAGGGAGCCGTTCTGGGGGAGGTCAGGGAGAGTAGGTTTGGGAGCCACGCTGGGTAGAGCGGCCGAGCCGGACCTGTAGGCGGCGCCTGCGAGAAGATACCAACCCCACCATACCGCCGGCTCTGTCCAATAAATCACCGGGAACATATGAGCTGCGCGACCAGTTGGGAACACCACTAAAGCTTTATCATGGAAACGCGCTTACTTAACGATCTAACGGAGACACACTGCGGTAAATGGTCCGAATTCAGGTCTTATCACGCTATCTTCTTTTTAGTATGCATCATATCAAGGTGATGAGTTTCCCAGCTCAAACTGCATGCAAAAGACCGCTAAACTACCACTTTATATTTGCCTGGAGCCACATAAAACCAACAAATGGATAGTCAACTGGCTGAATTTCACCGGCTTCAGGTATGCATGAGTTCGGTGGCGTCCCGTTTTGGCTCCATTTCTGCGTTAGTTGTGCTCGTCGTTTGGCGGCCGGCCGGCTCGGTGTGACGTGACCTTTGCGGGCGTGCCGGGACCGGGGTCGCACCTGTCGACCGGTCCGGCTCGACGCTGAGCTGTGGGCGGGCCGAGCGCCCAGATAGGGCCGCTATTTTTACCAGATGAGCGCCGGAAGGAAGGGCCAATGCAGCGGACCACTGCTGATGGTAGCGCTCAATGGAAGGCTTATCGCGCCATAGACTGAGAAAGGCTCGGCTGAATGGCGATCCTTACTGTGAGATTAGGTTTGGAAGAATTTACCGGCATCCGCCTCGCCTTCATTGGTTAATAACTGACTGAATAATTTCCGACGCATCAATAATTATCACTTCAATCGCATAAAATGAACGCATCGTGGAGCCGTTTTCCATTTTATGTTGTGCGTTAGTTGCCATGGGATGGCCAGTAAAATCCCCCGACCCCCGTCACCTCACTCACATTTGTGTCCCTGTTCCAGTGCATGCAGCACGGCGCCGCGACGCTGCCACCGCCGCACCGGCGCCCCCCGCGGCGCCCCTCCCAGGGCGCCACTGCCACCGTGGACCGCCGAAGGGCGCACGGACCTCCACCTCCCCGGCTAGAGGACGCCCGGCCGCCCGACGCCGCGCGCTCGCCCATGATTGGTGGACGGCACGAGCCGAGCGCGCTGATTGGCTACGGCGCCGACGAGGCCGCGCTCATTGGCTGCCGGCTCGACGAGAGTGCGTTTTGACCGGTCAAGGTCGCAGAGTAAAGGTGCGCGCGCCCCGTGAGCGGTGGACTGCCGCGGCAGCGAGCTCCGGACTGCTGGGCCAGGACGTGCTGGTTGGTGTTCGAAGATGTTATAAGTGTGGATGTCTGAACTCTACGACACACTGTTTTGTGTATGTTCACGTAGATAGGCCGAACACATGTCCATATTACCTCTTGTTAATTTATGGAATGTTTATCCATATGCTGAGAGATGTTGAATGAATGGTGGAAACTTTTGAATAATTATTAATAAATAATGTGAGCTGTATCTTTTATTGAAGGAATTTTTAATGCCACAGGCATATAGAGTATAGACAGCATGACGACTTACAATGCGTGGTATGGATCAGACGGAAGTCTAATTTTTCAGATTTTAACTTATTCTTGTGCTTGGTTTGTCAAAATAGGCGATGAAAATGTACCCATTGTACTGAGAAACATTACTTTCAGCTGAATTAAAAGTGATACCGCACTCAAATGAATGCAATGACTGCCGTTAACCCTATTCCTGGCGGGCTCCGCCGGGACAAGAAACTGGCGGGGGGCCGATTCGGCCCCCCCTTCAGATCTCAAAAACTACACATCGCAGCGACAAACGGTAAACGGCATCGGATACGCACGGTCAAGATCTACAATTTTTACTAAGGTCATTTTCAGGTCAGGTCAAAGATGACGTCACAGGGGTCGAAAAGTCAAAATGGCGGCGCTAGATATGGAGAGAGTTTTTCTCGAATAACTTTCGAATTAGTCAAGATAGGAACAAACTAAGGGCAGCATCGTGATCCTCTCGTCAATCCGCATCGAATGATACATATGTTGACCTCGGAAGGTCAAGGCAAAGGTTGACCTCAGGTCACGTGACCTCGAGGTCATTATGTATATCATTCGATGCGTCTTGACGAGCTGAACACAATGAGACCATCCACGCGTCTGTATCTGGTTCCTGTACGGAGTTATTGGCCAAAAACCTTTGGTGACCTTTGATGACGTCACATGACCTCACAGCTGCCCAACAGCAAAACAGACCTCAAGGTAGTGAAGGTTGATCGTATATGAAGTCATGTATGGTATATGGGGCCATTCCGACCCGTTTTAGTGGTAAAAACAGGGAGTTGATTTTTCCCCCATTGACTTATAATGGGGAGGTCGCGAAACAGACCTGACCTTAGGTCACCGATATCAAAATTCCGAGATATACAAATTGCACATACTGGTACCCTAACTAAAGCCTGAAGAGAAGAAATTGATCGGTCAATAACTCTAGCTCTGGCGTGATTGCAAACTTTTCTGAGGTAGGGTCACCAAACCGCCTCTGGTGACCTGACCTGAGGTCAGATCAACTCAAAATTTTCAGACATGTTGCGTAGAAGCCTTTTAGGAAAAGTCAGAAAATTTGAGCTTCCTAGCTCAACGCGTTTGGGAGAAATAACCAAAAAACCTCAGGGGGGGGGGGGGGCTCCTGAGGCCCCCCGCCAGGAATAGGGTTAAACACACACATTTTGGATAGATTATTAGTCGTTAACCCGCGCCCTGCTGGGGGGGTGTTTGAACACCCCCCCCTTGTGGTTTTTCGCGAATATGTCCAAAACGGCGGCGCGGAGCGCCGCCGTTTTTGGTACACCTTATCATACATCAATCCTACACATGTTGTGAAAATTTCAGACCAAGGTCATTCAAGGTCAGGTCACCAGGTCACTTGAAGTGACCTCACCTCATAAAAAGTTTCAATGTCTGTCATAGCTACACCGAGTGACCGATCGCTTTGAAACTTTCAGCGATTGCTAAGAGCAATAGCATGTACAAAATGTATATCTCAGAATTTTGATATCGATGACCTAAGGTCAGGTCAATTTTGCGACCTCCCCATTATAAGTCAATGGGAGAAAATTGAAATGCGCCTCTTTTGGACGAAAGACATTATAAACACTCCCAAACACTGAATTACAAGTGGTTTAGACACACTGAACATGAAAATAGTGTCCGTGACCCCTGTTTATGCCCTGAGGTCATCTTAGGTCACGAATGGTATCTAACAGTTTTTCGCAAATAACTTTTGATAGAGGCATGCTAGAGCGATGAAAACGCCTTAGATGTGTTCAGCTCGACGATACGGATCGACTGATATGCAACATGACCCTTTCCGGTCAGGTCATGACCTTGACCTGAGGTCAAATTTTCAAGTTGACCTTTCAAGGTCAAGTTATAGTTCATTCGATGCGTCTTGACGAGAGGAACACGATGCCGGTAAAAGTAAGCTCGTACAAGGCTTGGGTCAAAAGTTATTGCAGAAAAACTGTTTCCGAAAAAATCGGCTATTTTTGCAGTTTTTGCCCCCTGCAGGCAAAACCGTTGACGTTAGGTCAAATCTGAGAACATTACTCAGAAAGGGCGTTAATAGGGCTATCGAATGCGCTTTTCCGCGGCGCTGTAGCTCTATTGGTACCCGAGTTATGCGTTGGCTTCTTGGAAATTGTCGACATTCGACCTGGAAATCGGCGAAATTTTGCCTTCAATGACCTCTGGTGACCTGACCTTTGACCTGACCAAAAAATTGACCGATGTGATTTCCTCATTATTTTTGACGCTCTTTCGAACGCCGCCTTCCGCGTATCGCTACGTGGCCCAGGAGCCGAGTTAGAAGGGGGGGTGTTCAAACACCCCCCCCCCCCAGCAGGGCGTGGAAATCCAGGACCCCCAGCAGGGCGCGGGTTAAGATGTTATAGTAACGTACGTCATAGTGAGTCCCATAATATATGGGAGGGAAACCGGAAACGAACATTCGACAACAGCTGCACAATTACGCAAGACTTACTTATTAAATCTCTTTAAAGTACTGCTCAGAATCGTATGGTCTAACCAGTATGTCCCGGTGATCTAAAAAGAATCTGCCCTGGTGCGTTCCATTTTCCTTCACCCCACTGCATTGCTCCGTAGTGGAGCGCCGAGGTTTTCAGGTGACGGTAATATCGGCCGTCGCTGGGATCGGGCTCGTATTTGACGGCTGTTTTTCGTCAGTCGGCTGATGCGCCTGGAGAGGAGGGAGGGGGGGGGGGAGGTCGACTGCAGGGTTGAGCTGCCGCTTCAAAGAGACAATCGTGGCGCGCGGTAGGAACTTATATTTACCCCCCCCCCCCACACACACACACACATCCTGCTTTTGTAGGCATTGTGATATAAATGTTGGCCATTGTGATGATCATATGTCATTTTTTTTTGTTGAAGTATGTCGAAATCGAGTTCACAATCAAATAGGTATTTCCAACTTGGCTCAATGGCTCAATCACGACCAAACCTACGGTCATTCCGTAGGGGAGAGTGGGGTAATTTGGCCGGTGGTGTAAATTGGCCGCCCCCACCTGTACGAAAGCTGATAAAAGTGAACGAAATAACTTTGGTCTCTATTCATTTGTCATCGGCAGAACTAACTCGAGGACAAATGTCAAAACTTACCCCCTCTTAGTTTTATTCAAAATTAATAAAACGTGAATTTAGTTAGAAAATGGTAACTTTTACTTCCGTTTAAAAATTTGTATAACATGTAGTATTTGGGCTGTAAACGAATTCCAACATTATAGCGCCATTCTTGAGGGTGTTCAGAGGTTCCAAGAACAATTTCATGTAGTTCTGTACAGCCATGACAACTTTATAGACAAAAATTTTCAGAATGGCAATGTGGGGTTATTTGGCCGGGTCTAGCGGGGCAACTTGGCCGGTGCGCTCAGAGTCACTATGCTGGGACGGCCGTGTTGTCATGGTCAATTATACCATAAAGGACATGATTCATGACCAACTTCGACTACCTTGATGCCATATTTCCTATTGGACAGCTGTAAGGGCATGTGACGTCATCAAAGGTTATCTAACGCTTTTTTGCTAATAAATACTTACAGAAAAAAGATACAGCCGCGCAAATGGTCTCATTGTGTTCAGCTCGTCAAGGCGCATCGAATGATATACATGATATACATGATGACATGATGACTCACGTAACCTTGAGGTCAAGCGACCTGAGGTAACGTGACCTGAAGCCAACCTTTGACCTTGACCTCTCGAGGTAAACACATACATGTTTCGATGCGGAATGACGAGAGAATTACGATGGTACTTTTAGTTTTGGCCTAGCTTGTTTACATCAAAAGTTATTCGTAAAAAACTGTCATCGCATCTAGAGCCGCTATTTTGACTATTTTCGACCCCTGTGACGGCTGAGTCAACCTCCAAAATGCTTCAAATGCGTCGTAGGACAAGCGTCATTGCTGAATGTGAAGCTGACTCGCCTATAACAAAAATCATGGCCTCAAACTAACACCGGCCAAATTGTCCCACACCCCCGGCCAAATAACCCTGCTAGTGGGGCAATTTGGCCGCTTTGCAGACCTTTGTAATACGTCACAATTTCAATATAAGTAGTTACTCTATCATTTCAAGTTTACTGTCCAGTAAAGTAAAATGTATGCCACACCTGTCAGCGTTGAGAAAATGCAGAAATGTGTTGTCATTTTTTAGTTACATCGTTTTCTAAAAAAAGCGGCCAAATTACCCCAATCTCCCCTACGCATCTTCCTTTGTAACGTTTGCGCCTGACATAGCTACATCTCTACTATGCTCCACGTTCTTTGTTCGACTTGTGCAGGCCGTTGACTGTCTCGTCTGTGGAGCTCTTGCCGACCGCCCGATCTCATGCCGTTCCGCCAACCTATGCGGCTCCTGCAGCTCTTGTCTGACCGTTCGCGACTCGTACCGTTCGGTCGACACGATACGACCTGTGTGATTCTTCCAGCCTTTGTCTGACTGTTGTGTAGCTCGACCGACCTGTTTGGCCCTTCCTGCTCTTGTCTGACCGTTCGCAACTCGTACCGCTCGGTCGACACGGTACGACCTGTGTGGTCCCTCTGGCTCCTGTCGGACCGTTCGGCAGACCATAAACAGCGCTCCGCTGGCCCGGCAGCGCTGCTCATGGATTTCCGCTGGCAGCCGCTACCATTACCATAAACCAGCTACCGACGGCCGTGGCAGCCAGCAATCAGTTGCAGCGCCGGCGGAGGCCGACCCTGACCCGGCCCGACCCCGGGGCATTCAGATCTCCCCGACCCCCCTCTGACCTGATGGCTGAGAGTGGTCCAGGAAGGGAGAATGACAGATCCATAAAGGCAGGATGACACCAGTGAAGGCTGTCGACGCGTGAGCAGCACAATACCGGAGTAATCTGAGCAGCTGTGGTTAAACGGGCAGCTCGACGCGCTCAGCTCTAAGGGAACTGCGCAATGC